CTTTACTTCTATTGCACCCTGATGCAACTTGGCTGATGTTAGTGGAGTTACTCTGTATTTGCTTCATGGCTTCCAAGATCAGAAGCCGGCCTGAGGCTGTTATTTATTGCTTGGCTTTCACTTTTGAGAAGGAATATTCTCACATGCCATTTTCTTTTTACAGAAATACCCTGTCTGGTGTTCAAATCATGCTTTCCAAGCTTGCTTGTGCATCTAATTACTCCTGGCTTCTCCAAAAGGGTTAGGACAGACCAACCATCTGCACCAGGGGAAAATGAGCCATGACTTAGTAAAGCATCTTGCCTTTCATCAGCTAATACCCTAACTTGGATTCTGGCACAAACCTATATTTATCTCACAGCAACCACTTAAATTTTGATGGAGAATAAAATGGAACTTTACAAACCAGCTTTATGCCCTTATCAAAATGTGTTAATTGGTTCAATTAGCTCCCTCCCCAAGTTTTCCAGCTTTCAACACTTCATGATGACACAGAACATTTTGACATTTTTAAAGGAATGTATCTTACAGCTTTGGATAATCTGCTTCTTTGAGTTTCCTCTGATCTCCCAGGAACCATCCCCTTCTACTGTGGAAGAAGTATTGACAAGCTCAAATAACATCCCTTTGGCAAAGCAACATCCATTTGGCAAAAGGATGTTGTAGCAAAAACTGCTGTTCAAGAGATGCCTTGATGCGTCATATATAGATGCCAATTAATTTGCTATTTCAGGGAAATTTGCTCATGGAAGTATCTTACATTATTAGTTTTTTTAAAAAGAAATTTTATTAGGATTTTGAACTACTACTACAAACATCAATCGTCACACACATCAGATTTACTGGGTCAGCCCCCTACTACATATCTTTTAACATTCTATGATCATACTAAAATCCATTTACAACAACTTGAAAACATCTTTAGATCAGAACCAAGTCCCGTTTCTCCAGTCAGTAAAAAAAGTAATTCCAAATTTGATAGAAGTCACTATCTTCTTCATCAGTGAAATCAGTCTCATCATGTCTTGCAGAATCTTGTTTCTCTTGACCAATGTCAAAGGGAAACCTCCAAGTTAAATAGGATTGCAATATCTTCTTTCTTCTTCAGTGATAAGTTCGATCTAAACATTTCTGGACAATTCAAGATCTTTTCAATTTTCTAAAGATAAATAACTTCCTCACTACCACAATTACAAGTAACATCAAAAATATCCATTTAACATCTCTAAAGTTATCTTAACTACTCTACTTGGTGGTAACTAATATTTATAATATCTATTAAACCAATTTTCATCACCAACAACATCACCTTCTCATATCACATATAGACTTGCCAACCCATTTAAATCATTGCTTTTTAAGATAATAAGTTCCCTTATTTTCAATTACAGATAAAGTCAGAGATATCCATTTAACAATAATACCTTTTAGACAGGATTTCATTAAGCTAAGTTACTAATGTTTCACCAGCAATAATAGCTTAGCCTTTCTACGTCACGTGTGGACATACCAACCTATATGAATCACCCCTTTCTGGAAAAAAAAAAGAAAAAGAAAGTTCCCTTATCCTCCCTTGGCACCTCTGCCATATTTATTTTTTTTGTTACACCTCTACCAGACCTTTCTGGTTTTTTTTCACTGAAATATCGTAATATCTGTGATGGAGTCTTCAATTGCAGCCACATAAACAAAACCTCTCTTAAGTGGTTAGCTATTTTTTCCTTCTCTAGCATGACATGCAAATCCCATGAAAGCTTGCTCAGTATCTTACATTATTAGACGGGACACCTACACATCCTGAGTCTGCCTGTGGATAGTTCTCCCTGGGATCTCCACACAAACCCTATAGAAATTGCCTCTAATATTTTTTGGTGGGGAGCCAAAGTGCCCAGAGACATATTTGGGCTCAGTCCAGTCTAGGGCCACAGCAGTTGTGCGTGGAAGGACACACCTCACACACCTTAACGTGTGTTAGACACACACCTTAACATGTCTAACACGACCTCTGTATCCTATCCCTCCTCTGTGGCGCATTGTGGGTGCAGATGTGTGCAGGCAGCATACCTGTCCATTAAAAGGAACAGGAAAGCCAGTGCACACCTCCCAGCTGCCATCCAGCTTGGTTCTTTTGCTTGGCCAAGCAGCAAGAGCCCAGAGCTTTCACTCCTCCACTCCACTGAGGAAGATCTGAGGGGGTTCCAGTAATGCACTGGTGAATCAACTGGTCAGCACATAGCTGATGGAACTTTTAGTATAGTGTCAGCCTTGACAGATATCTTTAAATTCCATTAGCTACTGCTGACGCTAACTATTACGACTTGTGGGGAAGTGTCTAGCTTCAGTATAGAAAATGGATGTCTTTTGTTTAATTGCCATGCATAGCTACATGGTAATATCCCAATGAATAACTCTCACTTCCCCAGGGATATGTTTTTGGAGAAGGCTGACAGAATAAGTACAATCTCCCAGGACAGGCTGCACTGGAATCCAGTTATAGGAGCCAGATGGCAGATTTCCTTCTGACGAGCATTTTTTTAATCCAGTATAAACTATACTGTCTATGTACAGGTTCCCAAATGTCATCAAAAAGGCCTTTCGATAAACCAAACCAATATAAGAAATCTATGTGTGTAGTGTGTTTGTAGGGGTGCCTTATACAAATCATAATTTTAATGCCAGAATGAAGGCTACTTAGTCCAATTGATGCAGTACATGCACATACAAATTGAATTACACTGATTTGTATGTTTGTGTGCAGCATGTTCTTGGTAGTATGTCATATGTATGAATGTATCTAATACATTCTGTAATATAAGGCAGGGGAGGACAACTTGTGGCCCTCCAGAAGTTTTGACCATGACTCACATCAGTCAAAACAAAACATCAGCATTAGCTGACCACTCCTGATATAAGGGATGTGATTAACAAAATATGGGCTAAACAACATAAGCAAATAAGATACACAGAGTGGCCACCTGTCCTATTTTATGGAGAAGTCTTGCTCCGCTAATGTATTCAGTGTTGCTAAATCAAGGTGAGTAGAAACCACATCTCTAGATGATTTGGGTTTACTTCTAGCATTTCTGTCTATTGGCCATGCTGGCAGGGGCTTCTGGGGGTTGAAGTCCAAAACTTGGAGATCTACCTTTGGCCCATCCCTAGCCTAGACGACGTTTTTCTTTCTCTCTGGGTGAAGGGTAGCACATTGTCCATATTCTGTTTGGGCCATCATGTTAAATATCTACGTTGTGCATACATGATCACATTATTTATGTGGCTGCTGCAACATTGACTGAGTTCTTTCTTCACATGTTACATTGCTGATAGAAGCAGACCATTTGCATGCACTGTCCAATGTGGAGATAAGCAACTAATTGTAATGTATGAAATGGCTTTAACATGCCTTCCACACAGTACCCCATTACCTCATTACCGAGGCATTGGACCAAAACACATTGTACTAGGTCCTGAATAAACAGATCTAGCTCATTTTAAATTTGCCTGACATTCTTTATTTCTTTAACAATTCTGTGGAGGACACTCCAGAATTTTATTCTCTAACTATAACCCTACAATATACCCCATAACTTGTTTTTAATGTAGAGGCAACCTGGATGGGGGAAATGACACCGAGCAATATTTTGTTCCTTGGTATTTGGTTCTTTAAGCTCAGTTCATATACTGATGCATCTGTAGCACCATAGGGACCATGCTGGCTCTGAATGTCTCAGGATAACCTGTACTCCTTCTGCTGATCTTAGAGATGCATTAAATAAACAGCAGCAGCAGCAGCAGCCACACAGAGTGCATCAGATGGTGTGACTGCATGTTTGCCCTCAGACCAGATGAGAGGATACATTTGTGAAGAAGGAAGTGTTTAAATGTGAAGTTAAAACTTCACATGTTTCTATTTCTGTATTATAATACTACATAATGTACAAAGGAATGTTGGAATGTTGTCCATGGGGTCACGATGGGTCGGACATGACTTCGCGACTAACAACAACAACAATGTACGAAGTCAAGACATTCACACACAGACACACTGGAATTCTTTACATGAGGCATTCAAACTGGTGCTTTACCAAGGCTGCAGTTTCTGGTCTCTTTTTTTAAACATTCTTTTCCATGAGGGTTCTACCTCAACCCCAGCCCCAAGATTTTCCTCTCTGCCTTTCTATATGTCCCTAAATGTTACATTGCTTAACACAAGGTGGAACTGCATTATAGAACAGAATTTAGTTGTTATAAAAGGCTTTGGTGTAGCAAGTAATGGTGTCATCTAGGAAACACTGTATTATTCTTGCTCTTAAAATATCAGAAAATGGTTGAGAAGCATGGTAAGGGGCTTAGTGATCTCATGTAAAGGACCTGGAAACTTCAATGTGTAAGGAATCATAATAAATATCTTGTGTAGAAAAGCCCTCATACGAGAGAGAGAGAGAGAGAGAGAGAGAGAGAGAGAGAGAGAGAGAGAGAGAGAGAGAGCGCGCGCGCAATCTATTTGTAAGAACGTTGTAACACTTCTTAATTTCGTTTTTCTTTTCTTTGGCCTGAACCCATATGAAGTACATCTGAACTGAGCTGGTTCTGCCATGTGTTAATCATAGTTGAGTATTTCCTTTATCTTGGCCCCTTGAAATATGACTGTGTGACAGTGACAAAACTCCTGTAGCCTGACAGAGGCCTGCCCACATTTATCTCACGGTATGCATACAAGATCACCTAATGTGCATTGGTCATCTCTCAACAACCCTTTAACTCCTCCGTCACACTCAGAGACTGATTCATTTTTTTAAAGAGTGCAATGACATAAGTGTCATGCCTTCCAGTAGCACTGTGTACCAACAACTCCAGCAGAAGCCAAGCATTCTTGGAGCAGCAGACCATATTTATGTCATTGGTGCTTCAGTACAGTCCCAGGTCCTTGACTGAAGTCAGCCGGCTTGAACATTCTAGCCAAACACTTTCCCCTCTCCTAGGCATCCCAACTATTTCCACACTGAAGTGGACCACTTTCCTCTTGACACTTGTGTCGTTTGGCAAAGAGCACCAGCAGTACTCGAGTACATCTTCAGTCACTGGTTCCAAAGGCAAGTGAGAATGCCCTGAAGTTGCGAGCAGAAAGGTGGGTCCCTGCCCCCTCCCCCCTCCCCCCTCTCCTCCAAGTATGCAGTGGGTGTGTATTTTCAAGGAGTGTGTGTTTTGGATGAAGGAGAGCATCAGCTGCCTGGTATCAGTGCTCTGGCTCCGGCTGGGCGGGATGGAGTCTGAGCAGAGCCAGGCTCGGGAGGGTCAAGTACAGGTTGCTGAGCAGGAAAGAGGCAGGGGGAAGGGAGGCGTGGGTCACTCCTTTCTGTCTTTCATTTTCCCCCTTCCCGTCTTGCACAGTGAAGGGAATGTTGGGTCTATTCCATCAGTGTGGTATGTCTGTATAAACATCATTAGCCTGTACGGGCTGACATGCCGTAGATTTTCATTTCTTCTTTACAAATTGCTCCTCTCCACAATAAAAATACCAGTCGTATTAGATGGAATATGCTGGGGGTGGGGGGTAGGGAGAGAGATGGAGATGTTTATTCTTGCTCCCTTTGATCTTGCGTAGAGAAGGGGGCAAACTGCAGGCGCTAGAGGCTATGGAGACAAAGGCGAACACGTCACAGACAGGTTGGCCGTTCTTTTTCGCCGTTGGTGCGCCAGTGGTGCGTCCTGTTTTGAAGACAGGTAGGAGGTATGGCAGTTTGATTCATAGCCGGTTCTGAGGAATGATGTAATAAATCCTTTCAGAGAAGGCTCAGTCTGGCAGCCAAGAGCAGAGTTGGCCCTCATGTGCCTTGTTTCATCCCTACTCCCCCAAATAATCCTAATTTAGGCAAGAAGTGTAACTGATGGCTCCAATTTTTTGGAACTGCCTTTGCTTAAAAAAATACCAGGCCTAGGGGTATTTTTCAGTATTCAGTATTGGGTGGTGGTTGCTTAGATTTCAGTCACTATTTCAACATTTCAAAATAATTTGCAAAGGAGAGTTTGGAGGGAAGCTTCCTGTGCTGATGGGTGAGTCTAATAGCACTCAAGCTGGAATGGAGAGAGCATTACAAAGTCTACATAAATAAGTATGCAAGAAGGGGAAAATGCTGCCAGTTGAGGTGCTAAGTCTTATTAGGAGATCCTCTCCTATCTATTTATAGCAACAATCCCCATTTAGAAACCGCCAGTGTTTCTGTATGTTAAAAAACATCCCTTAACCAAAACTTCCAGAGAAAAGAACATAGAGTACCACACCCACAAGTATTCTTCCAGGAAGCCTGGCCACAGCTTGATTGGTCAGTAGCGATATCATTCCTCCCACACGTAATAGCTATTAATCACTGAAGGCCACATTCTGAGATATTCACCCTACCTCTAAAATGTCAGAATTAGGATTACAAAATGAAAATAAAGTGGAAAGTGGTTGTTTATACAGTCCTTTTTGACAGATCAGTAGCATAGAACAGTAGAAAAACTATGGTCAGTGATTTGAATGGAATTGCCTCTTAAGTTGCTTCAGCATCGCTTCATATGCTGCGTTTCTACTACCTGGAAGGCATACTGTGCAGGAAATAACTTGCATGTATTGTAACATGTAATGTTTACAGAAGCACTATAAGACTATAATTAGCCATAGTTTCCCAGCCTGGATGTCCATGAATAAAATGCATGTGTCTGTTGCCATCACATTTCTTTTCAAGTAGAGAAGTAGCTCTGAGAATAATCTGTTAAATGGGGTGTCATATTGCTAAGGAAAGGAAACTAGTCCTACATTAAAAGATTTGCAACTCAGTGGTACCATCCATCCAATTAACTTCACATGTATGGAAAACTCAGAGGGTTTTCTTGGCCTGATAAAAGCTTTAGCTTTGTAAAACTAGCAGAATCTTATTTGTATTCACTTGTACCTAGCTACACTTTGAGGTTGATATCACCAGTTGTATCTCACTTGCATTAACTTAATGTTAATTTTACACATGCAGGGGTTTGTAATTCTTTGGCAATTCTGGAATTACTTTTATGGATCTCAGTAGGTCACTGCTTTGATTTATAATTGAATCTCTCCACAACATTTCCTTGGGATGCATTCATGTGAAAAATGAGTCATATGAACTAGTCTCTCAGTGGATATTTTTTGGGAGTGGGAGGAATACTGTGATTACTTGAACAGGAAAAAATTCAGCTTCCTGATGCATACGAGATCCAGATTCACATGGAACATTATCAGAATGAATATATTCTTTGGAAAGTGTAAGGAGGACCATGTGGAACAGCTGATGCTCCTGGCTCTTCCCCTTCTGACCAGTGAAAAGTGTTCGGATTAGAAAGGGAAAAAGAAGTGCATGGCCAGGCATGAATCATCCAGTTGTTCACTCCATTGCCAGCAGACAGAAGGGCTGGAAGACACCAAGACCTTATGAGAAATGGATTATGCAGGGAAGCTTCCCCAGAGCATGCATGCAAGGTATCACAGGAGTATAAAAAGATGAGTATAAAAATTTGGAGAAGAAAAGATTAGGGGAAACATGATAACTGTCTTCCAATCGTTGAAAGTCTATTACACAAAAGATGCGGTAAGACTTGTTCTCTGTTGCTCCAGAAGACAGGACCAGAACCAGTGGTCAAAGCTGCAGGGATGCAGATTTTAGCTACACACTGGAAGAAATAGCTATTTGATGATGCCTTGCAGGGTGAGGGACTCTGCTTTGCTCAAGGTCTCTAAGCAGAGGCTGGAGAGACATCGCTAACTGCATTGAAGATCCTGCACTGAGCAGGGGTTGAAGTAGAGAACCTCTGCAGTTCATTTCAACTGTATGCTTGCAGAAGTGGCCCTAATGTAATTGCTTTACATGGTATGTTTATGCATACTGCCTTATGGATTGGAAGACAGGATTGCAATCAATTTCAAACAGAAATGGAGATGGAATTAACTGTAGAAATTAGCTCAGGAGAAAGCTGAATTTAGCCACCAGGAAAAGGTTATCTTGAAACTGAAGTGTGCAGTGTAGCCATTATAAATGTATAATGTATAATTCCTTGACCCTCAGCACTTAAAACAGTCCACATCCCCAGTCATTTTGTTGTTGCGAAGTGCCCTCTATAATGTTTAAAAAGTATCGGCAGCATTCTAGCTTCAGAGTGAAATTGAGCATGCCCAGCATAACTTTGCCAGCACTTGCTGCCATACGCTTTAAGGGGCAAAAAAGAATGTGAGTAGTTTTGAATCGCAACTCAGAATTTAAGAAAACCAATGAAAAACACACCTATTCCCAAAGCCAGAAAAAGATACATTAGTGCTTGTCACTTGTATTTGAAAGAAATATATGATATTGTGAGCTACGGCATGAAAAAAAGTATTGATACGTTATTTTTCAGCACTTCTTAAGTTACTGCACTTGTGGCAATTTTCATCAATTGATTTGCATCAGATTGATTTCTCCACAGCTGTAGACCGCATCAGTGCTTCATGAATACCAGGCTTCCCATTATTAGCTCCAGATGTCATTTTTGTAAGCAATTTAAATTTGAGGCTTAAATGGTGAAGGTTTTTTTGCAACTCCCTTTTAATATATGACACAAATGCTGATTGCCTGAATAGCATCATCTCTTCTTTAGCCTTCACCACATCTTGGTGGTGGCTGTGGCACAGAATGCATAAGGGGAGTGTGCTGATCTTACCCGGGATTTCCTGCACCTGTGAATGAGCCATGCACACATTTCCTTTCTGCACATAATGAAAGCAGAAGAAGCAGAGGCATGACTCATGCATGCTTCCTCTACCTGTTTGCACTAGCCTTCTATTGCTCTTCCAGTTTCTCTCACAACTGCCAAGTCTGGACTGTTCAATGTCTACAGCGTTTCATTCATTCATTCCCCACTCCTTCCCACTCTTCTGCATCCCTTTTATCTTTGCTCTTATAAATGTAGTTATCCTTTGACAGGGTTTGCTGGAACAAGACTGGGAATATTTGACCAAGCAGCATTTCCCTGTGATCTTGTATCAAAATGAGTATGGCTCAGCAGGATAATCCACATTACTTTCAAGTATTAATGAAACTTTATGTGTGTATTGTCAAGTATACACAGTGGATATTCACTGTACTAAGTATGACAAGGGATAATGGGAGCTACAAAATACTTGGAAGATGACACAAATATCTTCATCTACAGCAAAGCTGGGCAACACTGGAAAGTTTGTGTGTCATTTGCACAATTTTGTCCCTTTTGCTGCTTCATAGCAGCTACCAATGGTTAAAGGGGGCAAAACTGACAATGGTTAAAAGGGGCAAAATTAGTTATCAAACAACTTTTGGAGTTCTATAGCCATTACAGAAACCCTTTCCCTCCACTTTTTAAAATGAAGCAGGTGTCAACAGGTAATGGCTCTGGAGTTACTGAGTCCTGATCTACAGCATCATCCAGATGTTCTGGACTACAATGACCATTAGCCTCTGTTGGCATGGATTATAGTAGGTGCCATTCAAAACATCTGGAGGGGGACAAGTCGCCTGTTCCTGGAGTCTAGTACAATCGACACAATGAACAGTGGAAAGTGATTGCAGTTGGTGGGGTCAGAATGCTTCTTTTATTCGCAGCGTGAATTAGCACGTGGGTTCCTTTCACAGACTCCTAAGCTCTTCAGGAGGGCACCTGTTAAGTAGAACAATGCAACAGTTACCTAGACAATTTCCTTTGTCAAGGAACTGTCCAAATCTGATTGACCAATTCCACAAAATGGGCAAAGTTTCATAGAAATAACATGTAGGATCCACAGGTGTGAAACGCAGGTGTGAGAACCTGTCTGTAAAAGCAGAGAATTTGGGGGAGGGCAGGAGGTGGGGGTGTAAATGTCTGTCTTGGATGCTAGAAATAAAAAGCAGCTGTGGACCTCTGAAATTAGAGATGTGCAGTAATTCAGCCTAGGGGTAGCACTAGCTACTTTTTTCAGCTCTTTCTCTTCATCACTTCTCAAGCAGTAAAGATGTGAATGAATGAATTCCCTTCTTGTGCAGATGGGAAATGAGCTAGAAAGATTGCCTTGAAGTGCTTACCCCCAAAGAGGGGTCAAAACAAAGGCACAATATTCATTTTACTTCCCTT